TCTTAAGCTTGACTGCGGCAGAAATCCAAACCTTCCACACCTGCCTAGTGCAGCTTCCAGTACTGAGCTGCTTCTCTTCTGCTGGATGTAGTTAAAATATTTAGACCATGAATTCTCATAGCAGCCGAGTTCCAGATTACAATTCCTGTTTGGTTTGTTTCCAGGCTTTCTGAAAGCCTTTATAAACATTTCTTGTACTTTTACTGTTTTATGAGTCTTTCCTCACCTTAGTCTTGGTCTTTTAAAGTTTTGTTATAAATGAATCTCGTCTCATTTTTAATTAGTGCACACGAGAGTCGTGTAAAGATCAGGTGTTAAACACCAAGCTTTTTTTTTCTTTGTCGCCTGTGACGTCCCTCGACACCCGATACAGCGTAAAGGTCAACACCGAAGGCAAACAAGAGTTGAATGATCCGAAGAGAATTTGCCAACAAAATTTCAAAGAGGAAGCGAGAAAGAAAGAGGAAGCGAAACTTGAATCGACAAAGGAATAAAAGCTTTAGTCGGGGTGGCTTTGAAAGGTCAGTTTCAGTGCTAATTGAAGTTGCAAACACTGAGTTTGGATTTATACACCAATGTTAATTTACACAGCAATACAGGGAGTAGAACAATGTAAACACACACAATTATATCACAATTCTTTGTAGCAGAGTTAAGGACAGGTTCTAGATGGCCTGGGTCAACAGTTGAAGAAATGTGTTTTGGTCCATGTAGAGACTGTTTGTTCGCAACACAAACATGCTCATCATCTGAACCCCTCATATCTGCCAAAACACCAAGTGAATTACGAGCTCTCTCATGAGAGTGCACCACTTATCTCACTGGACCTCACCAAGTCATAAAACCAGGTCAGTCTGAGTGCAGCTTGTGAGCCTGATCTGGAACTCCGAGCACATCTTTAGAGAGTTCATTTGTTATCGTTGAGCTGGAATGTCTCAATGTTTAAAGCAGGAATACTTTGGCAGAACAGTGAACCAAATGATATCTGAGGGGAATTATAAAGAGCTCTCGTTTCCCAGGCAGGAACTCGCCCTCAATTCTGGAAGACACTGAACATTTTTTTGTGATCCTTTGAGTTAACCTTTACCAAACTGTAAGGACTGTTTTTTCTATGTCCATATAGTAGCCCACTGGAGAAAACCATTACAGGTGATATCAAGACTAATACCAAACTGCATATTTTGAGGGAAAAGACTTGTGAAGATTGAGCTACAATAAAATAAATATCTTAGAGGACTTGAGGTGGCTGTCTTGGTGAGGAACTGTTTCACCTTCAAAGCTGTAGTAGCTAATCAGCCAATCTGCTTATGCACTAATAGTGGAGTTAAACATTTAGCTGTCCCTTAATTGTCTTTTCTGTATAAATTCTAAAGCACTAATTTACTTGGCTATTTTGTAGACTTGAGTTGCATAAATTTTGACATCTGTGTTTATGTTTTGGTTATTGACTGTTAAGAATTCTACAAGTAGTCAGATGGATTCATTCATACTCCTATATATTTCCTAACATATTCCTAACATAAAGGTCCTATGAATGTAGCCCTCAGCATTCTGCTGTACACTGTTTTCCTTGTTAAAATAGGCAGAGCAAAAATGGCCCAAAGATTAGAGTAGCGTTGAAGCAGATGAGCATATTTTATTATCTTTTTGTGAATGAACCCAAATTGTGAGTTTTTATGATGGAAGCCCAGAAGCTTCTCCTGACTGAGATGCTCCACTCACCTGCCTGTCATTCTGCTATTGTACCCACCTGGTTTCTGAATCACATCTCTGTCGCTCTATCATGCAGTTGCCTATGATCCATTAGCTTTATGATTCCCATCAACAACAGCAAACATGACATGTGTTAAGAGGTTCCAGAGCTCATCATAGCACTGAAACTGCACTGGTGAAATGTACTATTGGTAATGCCTGGGGCTCAGACAACTGAGTCGTGTCTGTTCTGGTTTTTCTAGATCTTACAAAGTTGAGCACAATATTCTATTAGAATGTCTTGAACATGTAGGTCTCAGGGGAACAGCACTAGGTTGGTTTAAATCTTAGATTCCAGTTTGTTCATGTGAACAATAAATCTTCTTTACACTCCAGAGTTACTTCCTGAGTACCACAGGGCTCTGTGCTTGGCCCGCTTTGCTTCCAGTTAGTACAATAATCACACAGAGTGGGACACATTTGAACTATTATGTTGATTATATATATATATACACAGCTATATTTATCTGTAAATCCTGATTATTCCACACTGTAAAAAATAAAACGTACATTTTACAGTAAAACGCCGGCAGCTGGGGTTGCCGAAATTCCACCGTAAAACAGAAAAACAGATTTTACCGGTAATTGCTTTTTACGGTTGAATTTCGGCAACCCTGGCTGCTGGCGTTTTACCATAAAAAAAAAAATAAAAAAAATGGATTTTACCTGTATGTCATAAAGAAGTCGAATTTCTTAACCCACATGCAGAACACCAGGCAGAGAACAGAAATCAGTTAAATAAGTTTATTGTAAACACAAAATAATGATCAACAATCAGGTTCTGGGGAATGTCTGCAATCTGGATCACCTGAGCACTGGGATGTAAAAAAGAGAGATGGTGAGTTTAGTGTCGTGGAAAACGGCATTGTCAAAATAAACGGACTGGCCTTACTTGGATGGAAGTAGGTCTTCTCTGGGGGAAGAATCACTGGTTACCGGGGTTTGGTTCAGGTGGAGGGTTGCTGCTTGACCGACAAAGAGGCTGCGGTGGAGGGCGGACAGGTAAGCTTTGGATCACAGAAGGCGAGGAGCAAGTGAGGCTGCCAACAGGGTAATCCAAGGAGGTTTGGTTTACTGTGGAGGTGTCAGTGGAACTTGGGCAATCAGTGGGTAACATCCACAGAGTCACAAGGAATAATCTGAGGAAGAGGCACTAGGAGATGTCACTTGAGGTCCACAACAGGAGATCACAGTGAGAAGCACGGAGGGCTGGAGTACTAAATACTGGCTAACACTCTGGAGCTGAAGTGTCGGCAGCTCCCTCCTCACATACTCCTCCAGATGATCTGATCCTGCAACGCCCTCAGGAGGGAACAACCTTTTGGCAACCTCTGGTGGTAAAAGAGGGTGAAAGCAGCAAAAAGGAACCATTACAACAACCCGGGTTCCCAACACGGTAAATTGTTTTTATGGTGGAATTCTGGCAACCCCAGTGCCGTTGCCAGAATTCCACCATAAAAAAAATTACAGGTAAAAATGTTTTTTTGTTTTACGGTGAAATGCCGGCAGCTGGGGTTGCCAGAATTCCACTGTAAAATTACAGTAAAATACTGGTGGTCAGTATTTTACCGTATTTTATTAAATACGATAAAGTTCTGTCGACCAAAACTTCCAGAATTTTACAGTATTTTCTAAAATATGGTAAATGTCTGTCAACTTCAGCTGCTAGTATCTTACCATATTTTTCCTAAAATACGGTAAGATACTGGCAGCCGTGGTTTCCCTTAGTAAAATTGACCATATCCTTTTTGTAAATTATTCCATCAAAAAATTAGATGGAATCGTCCTTTACCCAGCTTCACCTTTGTCCAAGCAGCAGGACCTACCATACAGTCCTCTAAATGTATGGTCGGTCTAAAATTAAATAATCCCAAATACATAATTTAATCAAACTCTCTCATAATGATGGTGGTGTCCGCTGTAGGAGTTTGCCCTGCAATCGGTGGATTGCCAGTTTGATACCTGGTCTTCTTTTGAGAATTGAGTTTGATATATTAAAGTCATTATAGATTTAATTATTTAAAAACAAACCAAAATATCACACCAGCGTTCTAATCTCTATAAATTACTTTTGCAATCTGGTTTTACATCATAGGTATAAAGTGGTATTTTCTATGGTAATAAAATGTTTCAGATTTTACGGTCAGAAACTGTTTTTTTTTTTTTTTTACTGTGAAATTTACGGATTTTTTTACAGTGCAGTCAGTTAGGTAGATTACTTGAACACATAGAAATCTGGATGACTTTTAAATACTGACGAGACAGAAACTGAGTTTTTGAAAAACAAACTAAGCCTGGCTTTCATTAAACTGGCCTCTAACAATAAAGTTTGTTGGAGGCCAACAAACTTTAATGTCTGTGTTATTTTTGACCAGGACATGTCATTTAAATCCCACATTAACCAAGTTTTTAGGATTTCATTTTCTCTCTCTTTCTCTCTCTCTCTCTCTCCAGAATATTCCCAAAGTTAGAAAAATTCTGTCCAGGAAAGATGCTGGAAAACTAGCTCATGTATTTGTTACTTCAAAACTAGACTTCTGTAACTGTTTGTTATCAGAAAGTCCACAAAATGTGATTAAACACCTTCAGCTAATACACCAGAGACCTGATTGGTCCATATGTTCCAATCAGAGCACTTCTCTGGTTACTGCTGGTTCCTAGAGGTCCTAGCAGCAGAATGCTGAAGCAGACTTCAGTTTTTACACACCAAACATTTGGAATAAACTTTCTATAGAAGTCAGAAGCTCTTTTAAGAGGCTAAAAAAGGTTTTAATTTGCTGTCGCCTACTGTTAACCTTTAACTGTCACCCTGACACCCCAATATGTTATCCAGTGGGTCCATGAGGACTTTATTTTTAAATCTCTTTAATCTAAATCTGTGTTGGTGTGCTTTGTCTTAATGTATGGAGTTGCTAACTTCTGTGTATCAGCATGTTGAGTTGCCTTTCACTGAAAGTTGCTTAATAAATAAAGTTGTCCATACCTCCACCAAAGGACAGTAGCATTTCTATGCAGCAATCTCCAATCTATTATATGCAGAATATGCTAAAAATATCCAGCACACCACATCTAACACCAGAAATTTAAAATGAGACAGAATAGTTTTTTTTTTCTTTTTATAGGTGTGCCTCAAATTCTCCACTAAGAGAAGATGAAAATATGCCTAGTTTATTTTTCCTGTAGCTTTAGTAAAACATGCAGCCATGCACCTCAACGCCTCTGTGCAGAAACACAGATAAGTCGCCTTCAGGAACATCAGTTCAGATCTGGAGGCGTGCCAGCCCCGCCCCGCTGAGAAATCAGCATCGCAAACGCACGGAGTTGACAAGTGCGCCTCCCCCCTCTCCAAAACGTTGTTTGACAAGCCCATCTTTATAGGTTTCGCCTGAGGCAGTTTCTTTAAAAAAAAAGAAAAGAAAAAAGGCAAGCGAAAAGCCGCAGATTACACATTCTGCTCACAGTGCGGGTGAAACAACCTGCAGAGCCGCAGAGGGAGTCAGTGGGCTCCTCAGTTCGGGAGAGAAGCGGCGCTGGCTAAGCATCACTCTAAGCTGTCAGGATAGTTTTGGAGGAATTTTACTTTTCTGTGTTTTTTATGCATCAGATGCACCTGTGGATGCACCTTTCCCTCTGGATTCACAAAGGATTCCCTGCAACTCGCAGCTGATATTCTTCCACTCCACCAACCTGCAGTTTTGTGTTTTTTGTATTTCCCTTCATAAAAGGAGAAGCGCACGATGCTGCTGGGTGTCCTCTTCCTGGCGGTCCCTCTGCTGAGCATCACCGGCGGCGACGCATCCTACGTGCCCTGCGAGCCGTGCGACCCTAAGGCCCTGTCCATGTGCCCGCCGGTGCCCGTGGGCTGCCAGCTGGTGAAAGAGCCCGGCTGCGGCTGCTGCCTGACGTGCGCCCTGGAAGAGGGCCAGGCGTGCGGTGTGTACACGGGGCCCTGCATGCGTGGGCTCCGCTGCCTGCCGAAGAGCGGAGAGGAGAAGCCGCTGCACGCGCTCCTGCATGGTCGGGGGGTGTGCGCCAACGAGAAGCTGTACAAGCTGCAGCATCCACCCAAAGGTACGAGACATCACCATGTCACGCTTTGCATTATAACATAAAAATAAAAATAAATAGAGGAATTACTACAGAAAAATTAAATTAACAACACGATTACATCCTAATTGGGGATGGAGGGCTGACATCTGTCATATTACCCAGAAGTCTTTATTCATTTGACCTCATGAACTCTTTCAACAATCTGGCAAAGAGTGCAGATCACCTCGTCATCTTGGTCTGAACGAGTTTATAGGGCTCCAAGTACAACAGAAGGTTTACATGACAGTGGCCCTTGCTCCCTTAAAGCAAGGGAGCAGATTACAGGTGGCGGCTCTTTCTCAATGGCAGAGTCATTGTGTCTGCAAGGGAGTGATGAGTGCAGCTTTTCATGCTGTAAAGTCATATTTTACTCAGCTCCCTTCTTTTCAGTTCTGTCCCCTCTTTCATCTAGCTTTTCCTCATCCACCACCTGTGCCTTTCCTCACATCTGACCCCAACTTTTTTGTTCTCTCACCATCAGAGCGTCTTCTCCTCTTTCGCCTATCTGGCAACAGTCCCTCTTCATCCCCCTCCCCCGTCCCCGCCCAGTCTTATTATTTTTCTCTTTCCATTCCCATGTCAACCTTTTCTGTTCTGGCTGATGGTTCAGGTTCCTGCACATTTTTTCTGGTTCTACACTGTAAACAAAAAAATTAAATAAAATGTAAAAAATAGTGGGTATTAAATTATAGCCAATAAAATCATCTCAGTTTTAATCAAGGGTATTATTTTGCAAATCCAACATTTAATCCCTATTAACTTCGAACAAGATTAACTAATTTATTTTTGTAACGCTGAAATGTTGGTTAAATTTAAATTAATTTAGAAACAGTAGTTGCATCTAAAACTTTTGTATGGGTTTCATTATTAGTTAATATGTCAAGTTATTAAAGGTTTAGAAATGCTAAAGGCTGGGTTTGGAGCAAGAATTTCTGTTATGTACGACATAATTAGCTGAGAGATGTAGCTGTTGTTAAACTGACATTTCTAACAAACTGAGCCCTTTAGTCCTGAGATATTTATTGGTCATCACCAATAAATGGCACATCTTTGCTGCTGTTATCAGTAAAAATATTAATTTGCTCCTTTTATAAAGTACGTATATACAATTTCTATTGAGCTTTACCTAGTTTTGCGACAGGGCTAATGCTACCGGTATTGTCAAACTTGCTAGCAGGCTTATCCTTTTTAGCTCCGGGATAAGTCTTTAAACTGCACATCTTAACTTTATTTGTCAGGTCAAAATAGAGTTTAAAAGTTTGTATTAAGCTTGAACCAGTTTAGCAACAATCCTAAGTTCTAAAGTCAAACTTGGTAGCAAGTTCAGCCTATTAATTCTGAGGCAGCCATTGTAAGTTTATTCATAAAACCAGCTGCATAAACAAAAACAGCTTTACCGTTATTCAATGGATAATTAACATAATATTTCATGAGATTCATTGTTGATTGAACCAACATCTTCAGTTTTCTGCTACTCTAAATATTTATCAGGGATTTGCTGTTAAAATAAGTACAGCTTGCTTGCAAGTTAAACATTAGCATTAAAACCATGTTAAACTAGCTTAAATTGTCAACTTTTTTCAGTTTTCAATTCTCAATATACCTGAAAAAACATATTGGCCTTAATGTTCTTTGCTGGAGATATTGAACATTTGACTAAACCAGCATTTTCAATTATAAGGATGTTTCCAAAGAATTAGTTACCAACATGTCACATAAAATCTAAAATGTAATATTCTTTATTGGATTTAAAAAAAAAAAATTAAAATTAATATTAAACAACCTCCAAAAATTATTTTCATAGTGCACAGTGGGAGCATAAATAGTCTGATAGACTTTATTAAACTTCTGAGTGACATAATTTAGGGTACAGTGACAAGATCTTATAGAGTAAAATAAAATATGAGAAGAAGTTTAGATGAAACTACAATGTTTTCATCTAAACTTCAGATTAAAAATTAATTCCATCCCTAAACAAAAGTAATAGTTTGACTTTTTTTTGTTTTTCTTTGAACCATTTTACCAGCTTTTCTTTCCTCTTTGCTGCCTTTCCCACACAATCCTCTTCCCTTCTTCTCACCGCTCTTTTGTTAGGCCTCTTCCTCTGATTCCACTCCTCTCCGTCCCTCTGCCCCTCTTCATATCAGGCTGTGCAGTGATTCAGCAGAACACAGGCTGAGCGTGGGTTTACATATCCGCCGTCTGTCTGCTTGTAAGCCAGCTTTAGCTCCTGCAGTGCAAGACTGTTGCTAAAAACCTGAAACAGACACAAATGAATACTGAGGAATACTTCTTCAAACTAAAGGCGCTTGAGGAGAATTAGAAACTGTCAGAGAACATATATGTGTACCAGAGTGCATGTTTAAAATTCAGATCATACACAGCTGTCATTTATTGCTTCAAACATGAATATTTAGATGCATCTTTTAGTTGGATGGGTTCCTTTCTATTTTCCAGATGTTAAATAAAAAACCTGAGCCAAAAATGGCCAATAAAAAAAGGTTTTACAGCAAAAAGAGAGGGAAGAATGACAGATCAGTCTGCACAGGTCAGATTAAAGCAGAGTGAGGATTAGCAAGTGAAGACTTGATTGGACTAACACTGGCTGATGATCTGCCTCAGCAATTTTCCAAGTGAAGAAAAAATGGGAATCATCACAGCAACGGGATGAATAACATCATCGGCCATTGTCATTGGTGGAGGGGGCTTGGTTGGTTTTAAGAGGCACGTATTCAAGGAGGCCGTGGCCTTGTTTCATCACTCAGTTGGCTTAGTAGATTAGCAATAACGTCAGAGGTTGCCATAATGAAACGGAAGCGAGCACGTGACACAGCAGTGGAAGTAGGCCAACTAGAGCTTAGGTCACCATTCATAGCTAATGCTGATGTCCAGGGCTGTAAATCAAATGATGTGTCAGTTTTAAAAAGTCTCCAGGACAGAAAGCCACATCCACTCCGTCTGTGGTCAGCACAAGTCGCTGCGGCCGCCTGAATAGAGGGTGGGGACAATAAGGGAACGGGGCAAGTGCTGAGGTCTGTCTTCAACACCCCAACATTTTGCAAGAGGGATGAAAGAGGCAACGTATGCAAAGGTTTCTAGTGGGGGTGTGGGACCCAAAAATGGGTTGTGGTTGCTTCTGGTGGTTTGCCACATGACAGGGGTAATAGTATGTTTGCACAGGCCTGGGTGCCAGTCTGAGACTAAATGTCTAATTTAGGTCACTTGCTATAAAAGTTTTAAAAGCCCTAGTCTACATATACCCCAGACTGGCAGCTTGACTTGCCATAAATGTAGCCTCTGTCCTCTCTTATGTCAACACATTCAATCTGAAGCTGGCTTGTAGCCACTAACTGTGCTAAATAAGCATTTAGCTGCTGCAGTGAAATCATCACCTTGTGTTGTGACGTTTCAAGATGGATACACTGCTGACTCGTGGTCACAAGTATGAAGTTTTGCTTTTAAATTTTAGTCTTTCTTAAGAGGTTTAGCTCCAGATAGCAGCATTCTTGATTTTCACTCGTCTTATGACCTAAAGAATGCTTTGAAGCCCTGGCTAATGATTAATATTACACCTCTGGGGGACAATTGGTGATGGGTCTTTTAATCTTTGTGAAGTCCCATGACAAAAAATACCTGCCATTTATCAGAAAACATGTGTTTCTTTGTTGATATCAGTAATTCTGAGTAAATGAAGCATCAGCAAGACTGAAGCAAAGCTTTTGGCTAATATTATATTTCCTATTGTGTTCATGAAACTATAACAGCAGGAATTTTTAAGCAACTTCTGTTTCGGCATCAGACTGTGAAATATTTTAAAAGTGACAATGGATTTCATTGTAAACTTAGCTTCAAGGTTGATGAATGACTGCCCGTCTCTTGTGTGTCTTTCTTTCCAAACACTATATCACTGTGATGTGATACAGACCCAGTAGAAACCAAGGTGCCCCTATATGGAGATCACATCAGCAGTCGGAAGATTCACGCCATGAGGCTAGCCAAGGACCGCAAGAAGTATTTAGCCAGGCCTGGATCAAGCAACAACCGAGAGCTCCCGGTGTCTGGCCTGGACAAGGCAGAGCCAGAATTTGTAAGTGGTGTGACGATGCAAAATATTATCTGTCGTTGCAAACTTAAACTCAGGGTTAAAACAAACAAGGGTAGCATAATTAGTAGTGCACATTGGTCTTTGCAGCCAATTTCAATGAAAGGTCACGTTCAAATTGAGTTGCAAAAGTCAGATTTTGAAGAATTTAAATGTAATGTTTGGTTTTAACCTCCAAACATGCTTTGTGTGCAGGGGCCTTGCAAAAGAGAACTTGATAATCTCATTCATGGTGCTTCTCGGGTCCTGAGCGTTTCTTTGTACGTACCCAACTGTGACAAAAAGGGATTTTTCAAGCGCAAGCAGGTTTGGATGCATCTCTTAATGCTCTCACTTTCATTCAGTGACATAAAAGTGTGCAACCAACCCGACTGGACCTCCTTTTTTTTTTGCAGTGTAAACCGTCTCGCGGTCGGAAACGGGGCATCTGCTGGTGCGTGGACCGCTTCGGCAAAAAAATCCCAGGTAGCAACTCTGCCGGTGGAGAACTGCAGTGCAAAGATCTTGACAGTGTCAACAACAGCAACGAATGAGAGCAAACCACCTCCGGAGCCCAACTTCTTCTTCTTAAAACCTGCCAAACAAGCTAGCACACTTTGACTGACAATCAGGAGAATATGGCACAAACACTTTTATTTTTTGTTGATTGTGTTGGACTGCATCGTCTGTTGTAGAGAGGAGGCAAACTTTATATCGTATATCGAAGAGAAATATATCGAGTTTTTCTTTCGTTTATAAAGTCTGTTGCAGTTTATATATATATTTTTTGAAATTATGAAAAGGTGACAACACATATATATAAATGTGGCTAACTATCAATATTTTTCAGTTGATTTTCCTGATATTGTTGAGAAGGGAGTGTGGCCACCGAAACTAGGAGACATCTACTAAAATTGAATGAGTTTTGTTATGATTAGCAGCTTTTTCAGGTGCAATATGATGGATATTTGGGGATCACAAAATCCAGTTTTAAACAAGGGCAGAAAAACACTCAAATGTAAAACATGTATACTTCCATTTATATAAATGGCTCCTCTGGAGTGGTTTAAGCTGTGGTTAGAGATTAGTTTCCCTAAAAACATACCAAATATAATCTCACTTAAACTCTTCTTGATATTAAACATTATAGGAAAAGTGCTTCTGGAACATACCCATAATTTGTTAGCTAAACTGTTTTTTATATATTTAATTCAAGGCATGCATGAATGAAAGAATTAGTGCTTTCAAGGCATAAACATTATTTTGTCTGTTATATAGATTGAATTCACACATTTTGGTTTGACAAGGTCATTTATGTTGTTTTAATTGGCATAAATGAACTCTAGAGAATAGAAGGCGTTAGCTTTAAACTGTAACCTGTCACTCTTTTCCATTACTGTGCTAATTGGCTATGACATATTGTAGAATTTTATATTTCAATTTAACTGGCTTTCAGAACTTAACAAAAAGTAATATTTAATTAGCTGTAACTCTTTTCTTATATGGTTTTTAAAATTTCAATGCAAGAACTAGCAACCTGGTTGCCTAGCCTGGCATGATGACAGTCAATAAACGCTGGCTTGGCCTTGCTAATTAACAAATTGCCTGATATAAATTGCATGATCTTAAAATACATTAACAACAGTTTAGTTGATTGGCTGACTTTTTTCATATTCTTCTTTCCCAATTGACCAGGCTAGGGTTAGCAAGTCTTGGTGTTAGACTAGCATGAAAACTGAAAAGAAACTGGGATTCAGTTTTAGCACATAATTAACACGTAAATAATTAGATTTTATAAGAGAAAAAAAAATGTATTTGACTGTTTGCAACTATTTTCATATCAGTCCTTTTTAGATTCTCCGACTATATCTAGTAGCTTATGGTCTTAGTTTAGTATGAAAACAAGGCTTATTGGGGCATGCTAATTTACAAGTAGCATAATTTCTATGGGTAACTGAATCTTAAAAACATGATTTCAGGCAGGTGGCAATAATTTCAAAATGTCTTTAGCCAGGAAGTAAAATTTTAATACATAAAGATTTTTTTTTAATCTATCTTGGTCAGGTAATAAAATAGAACAGCATTAAACTGTGGTCATTAATACCTGTAAGTAGAAATGTGTGAACCTCTACTTATGAAATATGCCTTTCAAAAAATGATCTATATCATTTTTTTAGATGATTCAATGCTTCGGTACATTAAAATATCATCCTATATAGTTTTTGAAGGTCCCATTGAGCCATTCCATCACTAAGGCTACAGGCGGTCGTCATTCAAAGCCTTCAGTGTTAAGTTTCTATATGGCCCTATTTTTAGACCTATATAATTTTATTTATAACAAGCAGCCTACAACCTAATTAATATTTCCCAAATACATAACTGAAGCATACGAAAATCACAGCTAAATTCAGTGAATCATTGCAAAAATGCCCAAAAGCACAAACCAAGGGAAAATGTAGCTTGACTTAGCCCATTGTATGGATACATTTATTTTGCTAATTTTACTTGCAATGTTGTGATCTTAATATTAGTCAGTTCAGACTTTTAGTTTGACTTGGTGGTAAACCCAAGGACACCATTACAGCCATTAATTTTATGACTGGAGTAGTGAGCTGTACAGATCAACACACTCGCATGATCAGGAAGGCCAGTACTGAGTTTGAAAAGAAGAAAAACTACGGTAGTTGTACTGCATGAACCATAACTTTCACTAATATCTCCTAGATAAAATCTCACCAGAAAATAAAGAAGAGCAAATAGTCATAATGGAGATGATACTTGCTGGTGACAGGAAGCTGACAAAGTCCTGTAGGGCTGTTTTGAGGCTACGGATTGGGAAGCTATGTGCCCGCCTCATGGGCAGGACATCAATACCATGATTGAGTACATCACTGACTATATAAACTGTCTCCCTCAGGGATTGAGAGACAGAATTGATTTTATATTTGCAATTTTGAACATTAATGTCCAACTATATATGATGCAAACACTTTTTTCTGGAGCTATTATGTTGTAAGACTGCATTCGTGCAAAGTGAGTTAAAAGGCTTTGATTGTTATACAATAGGTCACTAGTTTGATTCCCAGGTTATAATATTTTTTTAGCAATCTTGGTAAAATGTAACTGGTTAAAACAATATTTGGACTACTACTAAACCTTCACTCATACCAATTTCTCCTAAATTTTAGCTGATGGATAATTGCTAACACACTCTGGGACCTTCTGCTCCTTAGGTGGTCACTAGATGTTCTGTGCCACAATCAGGGAAAAGGTTTTTTTTTTTTTTGTTTTTTTTTGGAAATAAGCAAAACGGACAAAACCTCAGTCATATAAAAGCTCATTGTACTGTTAAACTTAGAATTCTTTCTATTTCAGGTTCTCAGAGCTGCATTCACTGTTTCTAAATGTATGTACAGAATGTTTGCATGCCCCATGAGTGTGTTTGTGTGTACTCAACGTCAGGAACAAAAAAGCTTGCTCTCTCAGAGTACATTTCCCATTAGAGCTTGCACACAAATTTTATGCAAAGGCCCCGTCTTTCCATGTGGAGGGTCCTCACTGCCACCACACATGCAAATCTGCAGGCGACTCGCTCCCGGGGTTCACCGGGTCCTTCATCCCAGAGAGAGCAAGGTCGCCGAGTTTTTACGTAAATGAAGTGCCTTCTGCCCCAGACTGCTTTGAATCTAGATTTGCATGCAGAGCCATTGTGTGGTTGAATGAGGGTGGCCTGAGCAAAATTTTAAAAAAGTAAATAATAAGAAAAGGAAATCACTTTAAGGTGTGGATGTGATTTGCTGACAAATTTTATGATCTTCCAGTCAAGTGCTGCTAAATATGTAATGACAAAGGACAGGATTGTGTTCTGTGGGTCCAGTTTTATTCAAGATCTTTTATTGTTAAAACTGCAATGTCTAATATAGTTTTAACTGTGTAAATAACTGACAAAGTGGCACATCAGCCTATTTTTTCCTGATCAAACTCTTCTCTTTTGCCGTTGATTCAAGCTCATTTAAATGCAAAACGGTGACTTTATGAATACCACAGAAACTAAAAATTAATGTGAATTTTCTGATGGAATATTTAACACACCTATAATTGATGTACTCATTTTTTTCTTTTTAAAGTTAAATCACTATTTAATAAACTTCTTGTATTCACTAAAAAAAGTCTGTTGGCTCCTTCTGTGGGAAACTGGATTTAGATAGCAAAATGTTACGTCAGATGTTTAGTGTTTTGCGACAACAAAAATGTAATTTTCCATCCAGGTAGTATCCAGTTTCTGCTGAAAAAGCCAAAAGAAAAAAAAAAGTGGTCACTTTATCTGGGTGTTACAAGATCACCCATAGGGGGCAGTGCAGAATTTCAAACAACTTCAAGCCAGAATCAAAGTATTTTCTTTCACTCTACAAACTTCAACAGCAGAGAATTACAGATTCGACAGGTTTCTACTTTATTTTGTATTAACACTTTATCATGTCAGATCCTTACTACTTACTGTGCAATACAAATGAGGCATACTCAAAATCCTAGTCTGCAAGTGAGAGCACAGAAAGACACCTAAAAACATTTGACACACTGAATGCTTCCCATTCTTTCAAACAGTACAAAACACTGATAACAAAGCACTCTGAGCATTGTTACAGTTAGTAAAGCATAATCACTGGCTCTAAAACACAAAAAGAATGTGACAGATTTACTGTAGTCTGCAGCAACAAGTTGGTGACTACCATCCAAACCTTTTTAGGAAGTTAAGATATGAGATGTAACTGCCAATAAACAGACACATACATACATATAGCTTATAGCTTACTCGGGTTGTTCCCAAGCACTTTACAGTTTAGTTTATTTTGAACTCTTGGCCACGTTAAATCTGGGTGGCGTCGGGCAGCTCCAGCTCGCTCAGGTACTGGCTGCAGTTGGGGTCACCCCTCACAGCTGGAGCTGACAGGATGCGTTGGCCGGTGTGGGGGTCCACGCACCAGCACTCACCCCGCTGACCGTGGAGCGACATCTTGCACTAAAACAGAGAATTATTTATTCAGTTGTTTTTTGCCTTTCTCTATTATTATTAGTCATTTAATGAATCTGTTAAAAGCCAAGCTGACACCATGCCCTCATAAACCCATTGACTTACATGTTAATGTTTTGAGGTGACAGTTAAGGGGTTAAATAAATGGGGGAAAATACAATATACATCTAAAAAGTTTCTGAATATCCTAATATTATTTGGAAATGGCATCTGGAATCATTACCAAGTAAATTAAAATACTGAAAAGTCGTTATGTCACCAATTTAATGCAAGAGATGACACATATAGATTTATGAAATTAAATTATGCAATTTTTAAATTACATTACTGAAATAAATTATTTTAAGTCATATTCCAATTCAGTAAAAATACAGAACATGCATTTAGTCATGTAATTTTAAACTACTGAACAGCCCACAGCAGGAAAAAGAAATATGAAATACTCTCTAAAATTAATATTTTATTTTTAAATCATAAAGAAATGACACGTTTCAATTATAATCAGGAGTTACTAAATGTCCACTGTTAGACAAAATTCACTTTTTTTCTAGAAAGAGCGAAGAGCAAAAAATAAAAGTTAACCTGCAAATAGCCCGTTTCAAAAACATGTAAATTGTTGTATGACAATTTTGTTACCTAGCAACCCAAAGCCCACCCCATCACCTGGCAACCCAAGTGGTGCTTCACCCACCTCATTAAGTTTATTCTGCTGGATTTACCGATACATAATGGCTGCTGGAATAGGAAAACATCTTGCTGTTCATCGATTTTTTTCCCCCCCAGTCACATAGAACAGAGTAGTGTTGCTTTATCTTGTTATTGCTTACGATATTCTTGCAATATTGCCAAAGAAAGTTGTAGTTTGCCCAAATCAGTTTTGGAAGGATTCCTTTAGAAACAACCAAAGAAACACAGCAAGATTTACCAAAATACTTTGAAGAAAGGTTGTGTCCCTAATGTTCATCACAAATGTCCAGATAATGTAGATTAAGTACATAATGATGTCTTGTGTGTTTTGTATTGTTGTTCAGTATCGTCACTGCATGATCTGGTCCAGAGGTATGGTCCATGCCATCAGCTAATTTGCGCATATGCTAATAGAAATACATCCATGGAGGGTATTCTTGTTTATCTTCTCTTTTCTCTTAGCTTGTTTAAAGAAGCATAAGAGTGGACCTTCAGTTTTCTTTTTACTATAAAATGATTTATTATTTTATTTATTCTGTTTTTTATTTCTGTTTTTTTAATGGGGAGCCCCGTCCACATAGGTTATTTCTTGTTAGCCCTCTTACAGGCATAACCCAAAACTTTAGTCACCTGTTTTGGGTTATACTGCCCCCTCTTGTCACAGTTGGGGATGTGCAGTGCATAGAGGTCCTCCAGAGGACCTCGGTTATCTCTGAAAGGCATCTTGGATATCCTCTCCAGGACCTGGTCGAGCTCCTGCTGACACTGAGTCTTCAGAATAAACAAGAACAGAACAAAACAAGAGTTTCAAGTCCAAACAGAGGCGTGTGGGTTTGTTGGTGCCACCAGCTTTCGGCGTCGGGGGGTTATTAAAGGTTTGCCTACAGAATAAAATGTTCAGAACAAAATGTTCTGTCAGCCCTAACCTTTGTGGTGTGTTGTGGTTTACTTTTAAATAATAATGAAAAAAAAAAAAAAAACGTTTTTTGTTTTTTTTTAAATTATTAAAATATAAAACCTCATTAAAATAAATCCATCCACATTCAAAACAAAGTTTATTCCAGGACACATAAACACCAGGTCAGGTCTGCCAAGCAATCTGAACACTTTTGACTATAAAATCCCATATTAAACACACATCCACACAATATTGCTAAATGGCTTCCTGGTTTGCGCAAATTAATCTTAATTCTTGCCAGAAAAGAAATTGTATAAAATCTTGCCAAAGACCTCTGGTTTACCTCCCCTGCCAAGACTTGTTCTGCTCAAGATTTACCCTCTGAATTTGTGATGGTTGAAAAATATAATAAAGCTGGATGGAAGATTTAAAGAGTTGATTACATCGCAGGTATGCTGCGTTTATAGTCAGTAAATAGCTGCATTTAAATTAAAAGGAAATCATTTGTATGAAATGTTGGCGAATTAGCACGTATGCAATATAATTTCTAAAAGTTAAAGGATATTAAAAAAAATCCTTTTTACATGGATCAGTGAAAAACAGTTTTTGTTTCCACAATCTTCCGTTTTGTAATATTTTCCAGTTTATCATCAGCCCTAATTTGGTTTGTAAAGGAATAAAATGTGATTGCTTTTAAAGCCAGATGAATGATTTGTTGCTGCATCTACAGCTTCTTCATTCAAACACCAGGTGGCGTAGCCTGTTCCTTTAACTTCAAACTTGTGAACTACACTTCCAGCTGTATCTTTGGAAACATTGAGGGTGTATGCTATCTTTTTGTGTCTTTATTGAAATCTTGAAACAGCTTTCTTGGCGTAGCCATATTTCTAACATTGAATGTTATCTCTATCTCAAGCACACCTGATGCAACCCATAAAGAACCAATGAGTCGTCTGTGACTGAGACCACATGTTTACAAATGTGTGGTCTTATGAAGAATTTTGTTCAAGGGGTTGAATAATTTTGACACTGGAGTATTAAAGGTGAGATTTATTGTTAAATTGGGACAAAATCCTAATATTAGCTACAAACAAGAAGTGTTATTGAAAGAAAAAAATATACATAAACAAATACTAATTTGTTAACTTTTTGTGAATACTCTTCCTATATTTTGCCAGTAAGCCTAAATTTCTGTCAGGCTTCAACAGTTTTGGGTGCAAATGTACACACATGAAAAATGATATCAAAATGATCTGTCATTTTAAGTTACTTAAATAATTTTGATCAAATGATTAATAGCACTTCAGTACAAGGAAATGTTCAAGAGCAGAAACACTTGGAAACAATAATTTTTGCATATTGCAGATAGAAAGGTAAACACAGCTCATCCCAGAGTCATCCTCCTCACTCACCTGTTTCGGACGAGTAGGTCTCACCTCTTCCACCTTGTTGGTCTTCATTTTTGTCTTCATCTCCTGCCTGTGCTGGCGTACGGCGCTCTCTTTGGGTCCAAGCCAGGCGGCGTCTTTACTGGGCTTTCGGACGGTTGGGATCTCGCTCACGTCCAGATCAGGCTGCAGCTCCAAAGCCTCACCTTTGATCCAACACATCAGAACATGAGCACATTTTGAATCTGAGGTTTATGTTTTTTTCATCTTTACTACAATTTTCAACATTTGCATAACCCTTTCTTCTCACTGTGTGACATTAAATCAGATACAAATGTCCTTTTTACTGAAAGGTTGAACTTTCATCAATTTCAGAAGTTTACTGCAGTTTTTTTACTGAAATTTACTGAAGTTTACATTCCACCCTCAGCTGTTGCTGGCAATGCATCCGTTCAGTTGTTGCTAAGCTACAGACACCCCAATGCCTTTGTAACAATTATCTACTGATTTTAATTATGCCTCACTCTCTCCTACACTTCCAGCGTTTTAACAGCTTCTCAGCTCAGAGAAAACAAGACATTGTATTTGTTTTATGTCTTGTATATTTCCAAAACAAGAATTCCTCTGGGAAAACCAGATCACAATCTTGTTTTTTTTTTTTCTGCTGTGAATATAAACCCCGAGTTTAGATGGAAACTGTAACAAAGAAAAATGAGAAAGTGTTGACAGTAAACTGAAGAAGTGGGATTTTCTGTGCCAGAAACTGAATTGATTGGTTGATTGACTGAACCCCCAAGAGCAGAAATAAGTAGATATCAACTTCTGCAGTATTACAAGACAAATTCCACTGTGCTTTATTGATGAATATTAAGGTATATTTGGAGGGAAAATAAGTGTTGGCATTGGAATATTCAGAAATTCAGTGCAATAGCATTCTTCGTTAGCACTAGCTTTCTTAGTGTTAGCATGATCACTTTAGCATTAGCGGCTCAACTAACTGAATTCTGTTCTCTTTTCTAATATTAAAAACACAGAGTGCTGTGGAATGGGTATGGCACCTGCTAATGAGGATGTACTTACTTTTAGAGCTCAAAAAAGTTAACATTTCAGTTTAAAACACAGAACTAAAAATAAGCCCTTATAATGAAAAAATGCCTATGCATGCAAAGAAGAGTAAGTAATCATAAATCAATTTTAATTCATTAAGCCATCTCCTCTTTCATAGCATTTAGCTGTGGATGTTAGTGGTAGCATGCTACTGTTGCCGTTAGCCAGTCTTTCACTAATCTCTGTGATTCTGTAGAACTGTGTCTGTTCCAAGCTTCTCCAGATGTGTTTTTTTTTTTTTTTGGTCTTTTCAGGCAGAAGTTGCAAACTAAGTGAAAGGTCGTCAGGTCAGATCCAGTTTGTTGTTTCTAACAAAGCAGACTTTGGCATTCACAGAAAAAGGAGTGGAAGAGGAGTGTCTGTAAACCAGCTGATTTCATCAAGAAAGAAAAAATCCCAGTTGACACAAATTCTTCACATAGCTCATTTCAGCTCACTTTAGCTGCGAGGAATAATATTTCAAAAAGCAAATAAATGTGCCAGAACACCACTTGGTTTTGCTGAATCTTTGCAGGAGAGCATGCATTTTCGCTTGTGCAGGGTTTTCCTGGGCACACAAACGAAAGACGGGAGGAAAACCAGGACAGTAGAGAAGGTCAAACGCCTGGCCATGAAGTGGATAGTTCAAAGTGATGTAGGTCAAGTTCTAACATGTAGACTAGAGGAAAGTGAATGAAATTAAGTGTGTGTTTTAGCAGAAAGGGAGCCAATCTCCAAGCCCTGCAAGAGGTAAATGTGATGTTCGGTTTGGGGTTAGGATTGCAAACCATCTAATAGGGAATGGGGAAAAAGGAAATTCCAAACTAAGCAATAACAAGGTGCTGGCGCCTTTCACGATCAAATTGATCTGGAGTTATTGGACTTGAGTTCTCTCCATGATGCTCACCGTGCTCTCTCCGAGATTCTTTGAAGACGTCTTGCAAAACAAAGAAAAGCTGGGGCAAAGGTCAATTGAAACCAAGTGTGTCTTGACTTGCACATGTGCCTAGATCCACGATTCGAGCAGATAAACACAAAGCACGCTCAAGCTGGGGCGCTTTTTGTTTTGCTGGCTTATGTAATCCTCAGAGTCACAAAGTGCACAACCTTCGACCCGTCTTTTCTGGGGAAACCCGAGACGTTCAGTCAAGTGTGCACTTTCCAGTCATGCTCACATGAACGCTTGGTGCCGAACAGCAACTAGCAACCATCCTGGGTGATTCTATGCAAACGGCACACAAACACAGAGGGTCAGGACCCCACTTTCAGGGGGCATAAGGCCTCTGCAGAACAAGCTGCTTCACAGCAGTGGGCTGAGGATCAGCAGAGTCAACAGAGCAGCAGGCCTACTGTCCAGTCTACTGCTTGACTTAATCCTCACACAAAGGCCCGGAGAGACTTCCTTTCTGTATCTGATCCATGTCGAATTCCCAGGTGGCACGTAGGCCAGAGGTGACACTGTCTGATTGTCCGGATTCTGGTCAACTTAGCAAATGGCAGACTTTTTTCTCTAGACAATGTGAATGTTGGTATTCAGTTTCTAAGTCTTTGTGTCTGCCCATGACAACATAGAAATGGCTAGAAGAACATTTTGCTTTAGAATTGTCTGTTAGAGTTGAGAGTTCACTGCTCCATCAGTTAGATTTCCAGGTCCTTTGCCTTCTTTTTGCAAGCAGAGGAACTCTCCCATTTTTTCACCCCAAGTCTTTTTCTTGAGTCATGAACATTGACCTTGACTGACTTAGGCAAGTGAGGTTTGCAGTGCTCTGGATGTCATTCTGGATTTTTTTGTGATCTCCGGGATGGATTATGGATGTGTTGTTGGAGTGATTTTAGTGGGCCAGCTTTGGGAAGGTCCACCACTGTTCCATGTATTTTGCATATGCGGATAATGGCTCTCTATTATCAACACTGGAGAACCAAAACTGCAGAAATGTCTTTATAGCGGTTTCCAGATAGTTGTCAACCGCTTTGATTCTCATGAGTTACTGAATTTCTTTACATCAAGGCATGATGTTTTGCTTTTTGAGATCTTTCAGCCGACTTCATGTTGTCAAACAGGTCCAATTCAAGTGACAACTTCACTCTTCAGCTCAGGCAGCAATAAGACCTTGATGTGGATTTTCCCTACAGGTGCCTCTGGACTAGGACCACCAATGTTTATGTTTAAAAATAAATAAAAAAAATTCCCCTCTCACCCTCCATGGGTGGTC